CTAAAAAAAATGATCAGAAGAAAGTGTAGAAATAAAAAATACTGTAACAAAAATGTGTTCGATGAATTAATTATTAGACTTGTAATGACTAAGGAAAAAAGTCTGTAAGCTTGAAGATGTCTCAAAAGATGACATATACAGAGTAACAGCACTGGAAGAAAAGAGCAAATAGAAGCAATATTTGAAGTAATAATAACAGAATTTCTCCAAAATAGTATCAGACCAAAAAAAATCACAAATCTAGAAATCTCAAAAAACAAACATCAAGCAGGGTAAATGTAAATATATAAATAGGTGTATCATATTCAAACTTATAGAAATCAAATATTTAAAAAACCTTAAAAGGAAAATAAACATCAAATTTACAGATCAAACATAAGACTTTATGTGTAACTTTTCTGAGTAAGTAGAGATTGAAATACAATATTTAAATTGCTGAGAAGGGAGAAAATCATCAATCTAAATTTCTATAGCCTGTGAAATTTTTTTTTTTTTTACAAATACAGGACTTTCTCAAACAATAAAAAAGTTTTTAAAAATTTATGAGGAGAAAAGGGATGGAAATAAAAGACAGGGACGGGGAATCTCTCTATATGAACTTATGCATATACAAGATGAATGGTTGTATCAAAACAGAGATGAGGTAAAGAGAATCAAGATTATTTAGTTATTACATTTTTTAAAAAATGAACTGAGGTCAACTATGCATTACAAACTGTAGGGGACCAGTGAGAATGCAAAACAAATTAGAACTAACACACTAACAAGAAAGATGAACGGGATTCTATGAAATCTTCAATATAAACAAAAACAGATACAAAGGAAGACAAAAACAGAACAAAGAACAAAGGCAACAAACAGAAAACAGTAAGAAATATGGTGGATAATAAACTAATCAGTGCTGATAGTCACAATGTCAATGCTTTAAGCATGCCAATTAGAATACAGATGATGCAAGGTGAATTACAAAACAACACTCTACAAGTTTATAAAATCCATTTTAAATATAAAAACATGTAGATTCAATGTAGAAAGATAAACAAGATATACTGTGGTTAAAAACAAGTCAAAGAAAGCAGGCTTAGAAATATTAATTTCAAACAAATCCAAATATTAATTTAAGGAAATCTATGTAGAAAAAGTTCACATTGACTTTGTTGGATCATCTTGGAGTAGAACTGCAGTGAGTTAGCAAGGACACATTTATTATTATGAAATGTGTCGTAAGGGCTGGAGATGTATCTCAGAGGTAGCGGTAGGTGCCATGAGGCTCTGGGTTCAGCTTAGCAGAGAAAGACAGAAAAATATGTGATTGAGAGAGATGGGGGGACAGGGAGGAGGCAGGAAAGGAAAGAAAGAAGAAAGGAAAGTTGTTTTTGATCATGCACACCTCATTTTCACATTCAGAATAATTATAATAACAAATGTTAAACTAGCAATAAACCAATAAATATGGAGAAGCACTCTCGACATGAAGAGAAAGATGAAAGTTTTCAGGAAAGAAATAGAACTGTTGTAGAATTCAAGAGATCAGAGAGACCAGCAGGGAAACAGTGTGCAAATCGGCTGAGCACTGAACAAAGGAGAAGCCCCGTTCTCACACATTTTGTCTGTGAGCTTGGTCTTGGGCTTGCAGCTTTGGGTGGTTGGAAGGAGAACCAACCAACGCAGCTTGTCAGTCTGTGACAGGTTTTGTATGATGGTGGCCCTGCTAAGCCATAACAGGATGCTAAGGGAACAGGAGGTTATAAAATTGTACTTACAGGGACAAAAGTTACTGTTTTTTTTTTGTTTTTTTTGTTTTTTTTTAACAGCCGTAGGGAGAAGCTTTCAAATTTTGGCTTTTTCTTTTTAAGTCCAGATTAAGAACCAAAATATCTTTAAAAAGCACCAACATATCTTTAAAAAGAAATGGAGAATTATAATGGAAAAAAGAATCAAGCAGAAAATTATTCATAAATTAGTAGACATAAAAAATATATCAATATGTTGTTTAACTGGTATAAAAATATCAGTAAAAAGCTAAACATTGTCCAACTGGATAAAAATAAAAGCAGGACTCAATCAAACATTATCAGAAACTTCCACAAACCATAATGATCCAGATAGGTTAAAAAACATATAAGGGCCAGAAGACAAATGGTGCAATCATTATTCAAAAGAGGCAGTACTTTGAAGATAACATTATGCAATATACTAACCATTGATATTTTCCTATTATGTTGTTTTGAAATTCTGTATCATCGTTTTTGTTCTTTTTTCATTTTAAAATTAAAAAGGTATAGTGGGAATATGCGTATCACACAAAGAACTCAGAACACAGGAAATTTTCATCGATTTAAAAACCAATATATCAAACAATGCTTTATAAAACAAGTAAGTTTCATCCTCAGAATGCAATATTTATTTAACAGTTAAGGTAAACTAGTAGAAATCATATAACAGACCTTAGACACACACACACACAATCCTATCAATAGATGTAGAAAAATGCACTTAAATTTTTTATGTTGTCATGAAAAAAATACTCAGCAAAGTAGGAATTGAAAACTTTTTCTCAATGTAAAAAAGACATTAGAGAAAAAACCACTTCTAGGTAACACCACTCCTAAATATAAGGTGCTATATATTTCCACCCCAAGATTAGGAAAAACACAAAATTGTTTGCATTCACCATTCTTAATTAGTGTCATACCAGAGACTAGCTAGCTCAAAAAGGCAAGAAGAATACATCAAGAAAAGACATTCCCACCAAAAAGGAAGAAATAAGACTATTCACACACATGATTCTTCACAGAGAAAATTTCAAGAAACCTTTTAAAAAGTCTTCCTAGAATTAATAAGATTGGAAAGCTCATAGAACTCATGTTCGCATGCAAGTATTATTGTATGAAAATCAGCATTACTTTCTATTCACTAGCAGTGAAACTTTGGGATACGTTTTGTTAAAAAAATACTCTTTACAATAACTAAAATTACACACTTGACTACATGTCTAACAAAATTCAGATTCTCTACTATAAAACAGTGTGAAATATTGATGAACTATATTAAGAAAATCAAAATAAATGAAGACAGACACAGAATTCATGGATGGATTCATGGATGGAGAGATTCAACATGGTTTATGTAGCTACTGTTGAATTTATAGATGTAATACAATTCCAATCAAAATGCATGCATGGATTCATTGTAGCTATAGAAAATCTCTTGGCTGAAACCAACACAAAACAACCAAAGCAATGTTGCAAAGTAAGATCAAATGCAGAGGATATACACTACCGCACTTTAGTCTACAGCATGGAAGTACACAGTTGAGACCACCTGTTCATGAAAAGACAAGTGATAGGTGAAACAGTGATGTTCTCTAAAAATAGGCCTAGCCAAATACTATCCTCTGATTTTTGAAAAATATACAAAAAAAAAATAAGAAAAGGAAGTCTTTTATAACAAGTGGAGCTGACAAAATCAGCATCCATTTAAAAATATTGTTAATGTGCACACCCTGCATTAAGTATAAAATTTATTTAAATGTTAATTTAAAGTAATATAAAGTATGCAATAAAAATCAATTACAATATTAGAAAGATGAAATCTTTAGGTGAAACCCAAGGGAAGAAAGAATTCTTTGTAACCTTGACTTATGAGAGATTTCTTAAATAGGAAATAAAAATAATGGTCTGTAAAGGAAAATATATGGATTGAAAATAAGCATGTGAAAAGATACATAACCCCCTTATTTATAAATGCAAACTACAAGTACCATAAAATACTTTACACTTTTTTAAATGGTTTAAATTATAGGAAAAGATGAAGTTCTGGAAAAAAGCAGTACGTTATGCTGCTACTTCTAGCATGTTATGCTACTTTACATAGCATAGCCACTCTGCAAAAGAATGTGGCAGTTTCTTACAAACCTAAAAAAATCCCTGTCATACAACCTAACAGATACACTCCAGGTATTTAGCCTAGAGAAAGGAAAACAGTTTTTCACAAATTGCTGTAATTGAATGTATGCATGCTACAATTTGTAATTTCCCAGAGGTAGAAATAACTCATACTCCTCAAATGGGTGAAAGGAAACACAAGCTCATTTAGCAAGCCACAAGATGGCATAAAGCATAGCAATACAAAAGAATGAATTATTGATACACAAAACAATGTGCATGCCTCACAGATGTATTTTTTAATGAAATAACTTTGTCAAAAATTGCATTAGTGTATCAATCCATTTATATGGAATTTTAGGTAAGGCACTAATATTGGAACAGAATAAAAATCAGGTGGCCACCAGTTACCAGAGTCAGAATGCAAAGATGATTAATGAAAATTCTTTGGCAGTGTGGAAATACTTATTCATCCTCTTTGTGTGTGTGTGTGTATAAACATTATATATATATATATATATATATATATTCATTTTTAACTTTGCATAGGGAATTAGAATTTACTGTATGTGAATTTTAAAAAGTAATAACATTTTAATATAACTTTTGGGTTTTTAGATAGTGTAAGAAGAAATTTCTCAGATCAGAAAATACAATAAAATGTTTAAACCTTACATCTTGTAAAGTCTATATGTAGACCTATTTATCAGACAAAAGTCAAGAACCCGGAGTCAATTAATTAGTAAATAGCATGAGTTAAATGTATATAGGCTCTCCTGTTAAAAAAAATAAAAGAATGGTTTGGGGATGCCGTTCAATTTGAAGGTCCTAGGTTCAACTACAGTAAAACACACACATGCCACACACATTCATGCACACACACATGCATTTATGCACAAATAATATAGGAAATCATTTAGGATAGAGTGTGTGGAGAATATTAAAATCTACACAGAAGAATGTGAGAGGGGAAAAGTATAGGATTAATGTTGCCTCTGCTATATATGAAGACTATAGGAACTTCCCAAGTGGAATGATTTAATTTCAGTGTTTCTTTAGTTCAGCACTGTTTCTGGGCGCTACTTCAACTAGTATATCGATAATCATCTATACCTCTTCAAGGGCACCTGCAGAAATCCTGTGACCTGCAACATTTATGACGTCATCAACTCGAGACATAACATACACGTAGCCTTCTTCATCCATATAGCCAGCATCCATAGTGTCATAGTATCCCTGAAAATAACAATAAATAATGCTGTATGACCATGCATTATTGGACAATGTAATTTTAAACTTTGTGTAATATAAAATGTGATAGGAATAGATTGTATTTATTTGATTTTTTCATAACTGTACAATAAAATTAAATTAATTTTGGCTTTGAAATCTTACTACAATCTGCTTGCTCTTCTAGGAGCCAGCAATAAAATAAAATATTCTTATATATGTTCAAGTTGAGCTAAGAGTGATAAAGTTTATGAACACAATTACTTTTTTAATAAGCAGTAATAGCTCAATAATTTCAATATACTTTTGTATTACAAAGCAGTTCTTTGATAAAGCTCTTGAATTGCATAAACTTTTAAAAGCTGTAAACCTCTCTATGACTAATTATAAACATAGATTAACACTGGACTCAAATTACAGCTAAATTTGATAATTAGAATGAAATTTAATTTTAATCAGTTTAAAGTAGCACATCCTTGCCAGTCCCAAAATCACAACAGAATGAAGAATCGAGAAGAATGAGAAAAACATTGCTTTCTCTAATGCTTCTGGCTTACTTTGATATCTCTGCTTATGAGCATTGGTTTTAGCACAAATGTTAGCAAGTCAGTATGCATTTTTTAATCTTTATGGGACTTGTATGGTAAGTGGACTGATAAACTACTCTACCTTATAAAATTCTGTAAAGCCTGGCTGAAATGGCCTTGAGGATGGACTTTGGTTGAAGCTCTTACAGCAATTGCTACAGTTATTACTATTATAGAAGCAAATGAGAGTAATAAGCTCTTGAACCAGACTATTGTGGTTCAAATCTTAGCTCCATCACATATAACCTATCTGATCTATGCTTTCGATGCTGTTGCTAAGTCCTCAGATGAGCGGTTTGAGGTTGAGTAACAAGACTACAGAATTACTTCATGTAACCAAACCACCTATTGAGACTCGGAGGGGATTTGTCAGAGCTTTGACTGTTAAAGGTAACCACATGCACATATTTGCAATTGTCAGCTTATAATTAATCTTATTAATACCTGATGACTTAACTATGGCCCAGCAGGTAGATATATTGGACTAACTGGAGTCCTGCGGACTGACAAATCTTCCCTGCCACAGTTTATCAGGGAAATGTTTAATCTTGTTTATAGAGGTCTTTCAAGTCTAAGATGACTTTCTAAAGAAAGCTGTTTTAATTCTTGTCATTTATCTAGTTGATTAGGTTATCTGTCTTTCACTCACAAATAATAAAGATAAAATACTAAATACTTGGAATAGCTTTTTTTTATTAAATTCCAGACATCCATTCCTCTTTACCTGCTGCATAACAAGGACAACATATGAATCTTATTTTTAAAAAAGACAAAAAGCAAAAGGACAACAAAGAGGAGATAGTGGGACCCTGGCAAGTACCATCACCAAAGTACTGTTATGAGCACAAATTACTGCACCTTGATATGGAGTAATAACAGGTAAATAATACAAAACAAAGCAGAAAGATAATCATTGTTAAACAGGACAATAGGGATGGGGTGGGCTTTGAGAAACTGCCTTTTTCTTGTATTTTGATTTTTAAGTGAAATTTTAAAATAAGGAACATTCAGACAAAGATGTCAAAATAAAGGCACAAAAAAATACAATTTCTGTACACATCAAGTGAACTTTATCCCCCAATCATGTATACAGAAGATTATCTTAATGTTGTATAATTTGGAATCTGAACAGAGGAATCCAGTGGATAAAATAATAAAATTTTGAATAATGGATTTAACAAAATCCTTGACAAAAACTTTGATACTGAGAGCCTAGGAAAAGCTGTTAAGAGAAACTGATATATATATATATCAGTATATGTATATGATATGTATATATATATATATATATATATATCAGTTTCTTTTATTCAAAAGAAATAGAAACTGGCATAGATAAATTTTAGTAGGATAGTTTACTTTATAATTCTAGAGACAAATTGTTCAGTTTAACAGGTTAAGGTTATAGAGAAATGTATAGGAAAATTTTAAAAAGTATTTTAAAGTTCTTACAGGAAATTTTTCAAAATATAAATGCTTGAATGCTTCCTGATTCTTCCAGAGTCCTGAAAAAGCCCCAGGTGGTAACGGCAACCTTATGTACAAACACAGCAATTAAAATTATGATAAAGTGATAATAAAGACAAATTGATTGGAACGATTACTTTTCCAGTATTGTGGGTAATTACAATTCAAATCTGACATTGAAATGTAGGCCTAAATCTGTTAGGAAGATTATGTCTAATTGAGGAGTAAATAAAAAAAAAAACATTTGGCATTCAAACACTCATTAGCAATAATCACTATTTCAATAAGGAACTTAACATCTGCAAAAATGAACTAAAATATATAACTAAATTCTTTTCTAAGAAAAATGGTTCATCATAGGAAAATAAATTCATTTTTTTAATGAACTGTCACCTGTGCTTGTATGTGTAATGGAATGTTCTAATGAAGCACCCAGTGTACAATCTGATCCTCAGAGTGTTTCCAGCTGAGGATCATAGCTCATCTTTCTGTTCCTTTCTGATGACTCAGCAATATGCATTTTCTCACGTCTATAAACACATGGAAATCTTGAGCGTATAGAACATAAGGTATCACATCTCTTTTCTTTCCCAACAACTTTTACATATTCTTTTTCCTTTATAGTAGCAAAAAAGTGTTACACATATCACAAAGCCCATATGACCAACTTATAGTTTATCTGTGATTTATTTATCTGTGTTCATGTAATAAATGAATAAATTTTTATCTGGATTCCCTGTAGGAAGTACCTATCAACAAAGACAATCACTCTAATTGTTTTCTGGTCACAAAATAGTTCATACTTTATAACTTGAAATTTTAAATACTATAAGACTTGAGGACTTTCAAAAACCCTCCCATACTTATGAAATAAAAAAGATATTAATTGGAATGATAACTCGGACTTCATGTGGAAAAAAAAAAAAAAAAAAGCTGACAAGGAAGCAGAGACGAGTACTTCCACCTGAGGAGCATTTCAGTTCTGATAGACCCAGCAGGAAAAGATGCGGTCAGATGCCGGCCCTAGTGTTACAGTCTCCATAGATCTGAATTTTATTCTCACATCTGCCAGGAAACAAAAAGGCTGTTAGAAATAAAAGTGATCCGGCACAGTGGCACATGCCTGCAGTGCCAGCACTAGGGAGGCTAAGGCAGGAGGATCACTGCAAATTCAAGGTTAGCATTGGCTGCACAGTGAGTTCCAGTCATGCGTGAGCTACATAGTGAGACACAGTCTAAAAAAAAAGTGAGAGTAGCTGCCAGTGTCTCCTACGTAGCTACCTGGTATTGCCCATGTCCACCTCCTAAGAGTGAGTCTTGTGAAGAGTTTCTCTTCAAGCCATATTGTCACAATTCTTTATTATTACTACTGTTATAATCATCATCATCATCATCATCACACATATGATACATCAGAGGAAATATGTCACACTGACATTTCTCGGTTTCCCTGAAAATCATATAAAATGCATGAGACAGCATTTTTTAAACTTAAAAATAAAAGGCAGAGAAATTCAAGTATTTCATTGCTATTGCTTCTATTACTGTTGTTGTCCATCATTAAACCTGTTTGAAGCCAGCAGGCTGAAGCTAATAAAGGTTCCCTGTTCTCTAAAGCGACTTTAGTATGCTAATTTTTAAAAATCAACACACAAATAATTTTCCTTCATCAGTTTGTTTTAAATCATCCCATTAATATTTTTCAAAGAAGAGTAAAACTCATCACTAAGCACTGAAGTAAAATATGGATGCATGTACATAAAATATGTATTTCTTGACTAATATAACAGCAATGTGAAAATGATGAATTATCAAAGTTTTTTTTAAAGAAGGGAATTGTATAATCAGACCTTTGTTCCAGGACTAATGTGCGTGGCAAGTGGGCTAACTGGAAGACATAGCAAAGGAAAAAAAAAAAAATATGAAGAATGAGGAATAGAAAAATTAAAGCTACTAAACTTTTCAGTCAAATCAGTGGTGATAAAAAAAACATACATCATAAATGCAGTGAAGGCACTAGTTGTAGGATAAGTGGCATCCTGGAATTTGGAGAAGTGGAGATAAAGAATCTGATTTAAAGCTGAACTTTAGGAACCTACAGCATCATTAGCATATGGAAGAAATTAGGAAATCATGAGAGATGAACTCAGGGGATACTGAGATAACAGACAGATCTTCAAATGGATTTTCTAGAAGACCAAGGTCAACCATAGTGATAACGAAAGATTAAAGAACAAATGTCACTGAATAAAAAGAAAAAGCGAATCAGAAATGTACGGAACCAGGAGTACATAGTTTCAAAGAAATCGCAAAAGGAGTATTAGTCATAGTCAAATGTTCAACAAGATTAAGTGAAAGATAAATTGTGTTTAGAAATGGATTTGACGTAGTGATGAAAGTATGACTCCGATAATTTGAACATCTTTAGAATTGGCATTTCAAACAGGTGGAGTCGGGCCTAGGTGGGGTGACTGGAGCACGATGGAGAAAGTAAGTAGCAGCGGTGAGGATGGATGAGCGATGCATTGCTTAAAAATTGGTGAGCGACCGGAAGCAAAGATATAAGTCAAGAGCTGGTGTAGAGAGGCAGGTTGATGTAGGATGGGGAAGACCTGAGTGGGAGTAGCCAGTGCAGAGAAGATAAAGGTACGCAAGAGAGAGGAATCATTCAATTTCTTTATTTCTTCATTCACTTACGTGTGCAGTCGTTCTCACACTCACTTTCTGAATACATTCAATGTTCTGTGCTTGGTATTGTGTCAATCATTGTGCCAGATATTAATAATGTAAATATTTAAATTATAGTCTTGTATACATGGAGATTCTAGTATATAATAAAAAGCAAGAAATGTAGCATTTTAATAATACAAATAGGAAGAATGATATGAATGATGTCTGCATTATTAAGCTAATAAAATATCTAATATCTAATAAAATAGAAATATGCAAGGTATTTTCCTGGCATGTTTTACAGCAGGTAGCTAAACTCTGCTCTACCAGAGGCCACTAAAAGAAAAGTTTTCAATCTTACTCGAGATATGGAACTGCCAGACATGAGTGTTAGGCTTGTCTCAAGAAATTTTTGAAATGTCCAGAGAAAACTACTTCATTATTCACAAATTAATTGAAGATCAAGCTGGAGAATAAGATAGGAGACAACACTGGGTAGTTTATAGTATAAAATATATAATATAAATATAAAATATATAATATTAAAAAGAGGCAATGTTTTCTGTTCCTCTCAAGATTGAAAAGGGTAATCAAAATCAAATACAATCACCTTGTGATACCTTCCCAACTCTTCCAAGCAGAATGAAGCAGCCATTTTTGTTAAAACTCCTCCAATTATTTCTTTTAGAAAATATTGTTTCCAAAGAAACCATCTTTAGGGGAAAGAGGAACAACTAAGGCAACAGAGTCACCTACACAGGAAGGGGGCATCAGGAATGGTGAGGAAAATATCCACCACCCTAGAAGGTAATACATTTTTGAGTAAACTAGAACATAAAATCCTACATGGCAGATTCTACACCAGGTAAAGCATTGTCTGTATTCTCTTTCAGGAATTACTAAGTTTCAGAAACAAATTGAAGACATGCTCCTGCTTCCTAGAGAATTCTAGAATTAAACTCCAACTTTGCACTTTCAGTGCTTTCTATGGGATTTTAAATTTTAATATGAAGTTAAGTTTTATCTCTCTTGCAAATAATGCATAAACTATAATTTCTCTCTGGGCAGACAACATTTGGTAGTTATATAAATTCTAGCTGTATGATTACTAATGGTGCTTATTTTCTCATGTCTAAAGTGAGGATTATATCTGTTTGTCTACCTTATACTCTTACTTATCAAGCCATAATAAAAATCTGCATATAGATTTACAAAGGAGCAGGGTTATATGTAACAATGCTATATTTTACTCAAAAGATATTTGGAGTAAAAGAAAGATACCCTAGATTGTTTCCAAGATGGCACAGTGACTGAACACACACCATTAACGATCAAAAGTTTAATATCTGGAGAATGAAAAATTGGCAGATAGAAAAGTGAAAGCCAGTTGCACAGTTTTATACAGGTCCTTTGTATCTCACTACTGCTTGCAGGGCACAGGTCAGCAGACCACAGCAGGAGTGGGTAAGCTACAGTTCCAATAGCAGGAGTGGATCCAGTCAGAAAAATGTATGTCTATCAGAGAGAAAGCACCAAAGACCAATGGCTTTAATAACAGTGAGCCCTGTGGTACTGAGGAAGGCAATTGCAGTTACAATTTTCTTTCATGCCCTGTTCTCTGTTGCCTAGAAATTACTGACGCATAGTTTTATTTCTGCACTTTGGAGCTCTTGATGCAATTAGAGGAGCACCTTCTAAAATTCATGAGCATTTTGTATTCATAGCAACTCAGATACCATAGCTTTCCCACTAAATTAACTGCCTGGAGTAGCCTTCAAAATCAAAAGAATTATCTAACATCCATGCAGACATGAAGTTTTCTCTTCCACTAGAATGGTAAATTCTACAAATACAACTCATCTTCTAAGACACTGAAACTGAACAATTCCTATTTATTATTTCCTAGGGCTTATAGGAGTTTAAGGATCACAAAAGAATATCTACCTTTATGTAAAGGTGTTCCCAAACAAGGAAAGCAATGATTTTCAGAAAGTTATAACAGAGCTGGTGGGGAAAGCTGAAGTTATCAAGAGGTTCTGGTTGTCCTTTGTTTTTGCCCTGTATCACTATTTATAAACATGGATCTACGTTAAGAATTCTTACTAGTAGAAGTCAATGTGAGCACACCCTACAGACAGTACAAGCAACTATTGAAATTCTTGAAATGCTTCTAGCTGATGAGTAGAACGGAATGGCTACTAGCCCTGTGGGGCTCAAAAAGAAAGTCCTTTCTTTTGTAGATAAAAATGAGTCTTGGGGGAAAAGAATTGCCAAAGTTTTTCTTTCCAAAAAGAACCTTTTTTTCTGATCATTTCTATCTTATCTTGTAAATATATGTGATACTTCAAGCATCTAACTTCATTATTAGGCAAGAGGGGCAATCAAATTCTGCCTCAAGTGTTGGTGTGTTTCATCTTCAATTTACAATGGAATCTCAGAATTCTTGGCTCACACAATAAAACTCAATGCTTAACAATACAAAGGAATGAAAATAATTTTGAATTCATGAAAATATAAACCATGGCACACTATAAAGGGAAAGATTGTGTGACTTTCAAGGGCTTGAAATGACACTCATGATCCAAGGAAAACTTGTTAAGGTTTATATGAGATATTGGTATTTTTATTAACTCCAAATAGATGTAGGGCAAAGCCACCCAAAATTAGAGAAACTCCATGAGGGCCTTAAAATTGAACTGGCATCAAATGCCATCTCTGAAATCTTAAAAGACTTGCTTCATAAAATAGATGACTCATTTATAGTTAGGTTATATAAAAATACATGCCACCAGAGTGTTTTTAAAAGCTTTCAAAACCCAGGTGCTTTGCTAAGCAAGTTAAAATGTCCACCCACAATTGTATTTATATGATTTCATGAACAATCTCTCCCTTTCCCTGTTTTGTTTCCCCTAACAGGTAATATTTCAACCTATTCTATGTGAATATGGATTCCAATTCAGAGAAATATAAATACAAATAGTAGGTGCAATATTTGATCTATCTTTTTGGATATGTTGTATTATATAATTTTTAAAAAGTGATATAGTGCTTACATGTTTACTGAGAATATGGGTATGGGAAAATGTATGACACTGTCCTTTATTTATTAACATTTTTGTAAAGTTATTATATCTCTATATCATTATATATTTTACTAATGCTTTACTTGTAAATTTCATAACATTTAAAATACTAAATAGAGGTAATTTTATACCAATGTGACAGTGGCAAGCACTAAAAGATTTTTGATGTTTAATAGAAGTAAATGAAATGACAAATCCATTTTAAGACCTGACATATGATGGTTTTTATTTATACTATCATATTCTGATACAGTCTGCTACTTAAACCATATTATAGAGAAGTGAAAAACTAACAATAATCAAAAGTGATTAAGCAATCTGGGTCAATTATTTAAATGTCACATATTTGTTTGGTCTCCAATTTAATTTTCATTTCAAATTGTACTTGCAAAATAGTTTTAAATTATGGCTTAAATAAAATAAATTTAAATATTTTCACTTCAAATTTTAGCACTTTTTACCTATCAAATAAACAATGATGAAAAAATTAATAAAGAATTATTTGGTGAATCAAAAATTTATAATATACTACATTTTGACCTAGTAATTACCCATTTGGAAATCTATTTAATACTATAGCAACTTTTAGAAAAGAAGAAAAGAGAAAACCAAAAGTATATTCAACAGTATAATCTATATTCAGGCGTGCTCAAAAATGACAGAAAGACCAACAATAGAAGTGAATATTTTTAAAGGACAGAGAAAACATTAAAAATGCTTAACACGGTAGTAGTCCATTTGCCTAGGATGTGTGAGGTCTTGGGTCTGATCCCTACCATCTTAAAAGCAAAATTTCTCTGAGACAGAATTAAGGAAAAATAGTAGTTAGCACCCCAAAATCGGTTTGATTCAACAACATCAAATGCTCATCAAAACATTATCATATACATTTATGTGTCTCTTTATGATGGGATATGTACTGAGGTGTGAGCATCAAATAAAATGTTTTCACACAAAACTACAGTGTGTAAGTCAGCCTCTTGAATCAATCACAGCCACAATAAACATGAGAGTTACGAGGCTACTGTCAGCATAAAGCACAATATGATTTACAATAAACATTTTCTTTATAAGTCCTGTAAAATAATGATAAAACTATCACAATGTTAACATACAAAGTAGTAACAGTTGTTTATTGTCATTATCATATATGGTAAATGATTGTACATGCTATATTTTTTATAAGACTAGAACACAGTAGTTTTGACTCGTGTGACAGAAAGTGACCTGTGAGTATAACAATGTCACTATGTGGAGGAATTTTTCAGCCCCGACATAATCCGATAGTAGTACCATCATATATACAGTCCATCATTTGTAGCTGATATACTACAGCATTAATGGTATATTGCTGAGGTATAGGAGTATGGGAAGTTTACTTGTTTATATAGTTAAATATAAATTATTTTCATCATATATATTATTTAAACAATCAGAAAAGTTAGTCAAACATTGCAAGATATTTGCTTCTTTTAATTGTATCTAAGCTTGATGTATCATATAGTGCTCCCAACTTAAATCACAACGGAATTGGCAGAATTTTCAAACACAAATGTTCATTCTGCAAGCTGCTTACTTGTAACTATCAGTGTAGTCACTCTATCACCCCCTAACATAACCCTTATTATTTTAAATAATTGCATTGAAAATTTTGCTTACTTTACCACAATATTTCCTAAACATCGAGCCTTCAGTTTTTGCATGTTGTCATCCAAAATCATAACTGGAAGTAGAACATAAATAAATCAAAATGCGACTAAAAACACATAATCTTAAAATTTAAGCATTTTCTTTTTTTAATACTTAACAGCAAAAACTAACTGGAGCTTATAAAACTAACCTTTTTATTCTTATGAGGCCACAAATACATATAAAAATCTAAAATGACTTACAAAAATATAGAGTGCATAAGGTTGACTCCTAACAAGGTCATAAATTTTTCTTCTAAATCTTCCTTGAATACATTGTATTTCATACCATGCCGGAAGTTTATTATTTATTCTTATGTACATTTATAACCTTCCATTCAGGAAAGAATGTTGAAAAATGTGTTTACTTATTTAAAATTAAAGTTTTGAAATACATCAAAAAGGTTATATGCAGTAAAAACAAAGCATTTAAATGTATGAAAACCCCTATTTTGACATAAAGCTAAATATCTTCTTATGAAATTTAAATTGGGAAATTTAATCTTACAATCGTTATACCAATGCTTTCTGTGCAATCTTAATAAAATCCTGAATGTGTTTATATCAAAGCTTGCTACTGCAAACTGGTCATGAAGATGAATCACCATCATCTAGGCTTTAATAGATTGTTTATGTGACTCCATTCATCCAGGTAATTCCACTGTAAGCTGCTGGGTGAGGATATCTTCCCCAGCGGGGAAATGAATTGCTCGTTTCTTTGTGTTCCTGGAACATTTTGGTTTAAAACACAATTTTAACACTTATTAGTAGAGAAATGAATGTTTGTGTCTCAATAGATTGTGAGTTTTTTAAAGGTAGAAGACATGCTTATTTTATCTTTTGTTTTCCCAAATCCCAGGACATCGATCAAATTACTGTGTGGTACTATGTGATATATTATATATTACCTCTCAGTACTTCTGTCCTTAGAGTGGGAACAGTTCTCTTGTTATTGTGTTGCCCTAAGAATTATGGGTAGGGAAATGTATGTAAGGTGACAAATTTGTGAAGATATTCAATGAATTTGAAATTATTAGATTACATTTAATGCTTTTTCACACAGAAGGGTATTTTTCTTTTCCCCAAAAGTATCAAGCTTTTTTTAAAAAATAACATTGCTTTTTCATCTTAATAACCATAAAATATAAATGTGATCAACCATAAACTTACTGGCATATCAGTTATAAAAGCTTAATTTGTTCTCTCTAAAGCCAGTAGCTATTTGACAAAGAAAGTTCTGTATTGAAGCTCTATAAAATATCAAATCTTAACTCTTTCTTACAAATATATAACAATGGAACTGACATACCGAAGGGAAAATGCATTTAATACCTCTCACAATCAAGATCCCCTAAAAATGTCTCAACACAAAAGCAATTTCTCCAATAAAAAGAAGAGGATGAATGAACTGTTCAAATGGAGAATTTCACTAAAACTAGGTTCACCCATCCATGTCTAGAGAAGTCATTCACTTCACAGAATAAAGATAAAGGGAGGGAGGAAAAGAAGAAGGCAAAAGATTACATATATATATGCATATATATATATGCATATATATATGTAAATAAATATATACAAGATAGATAATTATACTAATAATCTATTAGTTCTCCAAAAGAACAGTTTGTATCTTTGTTTAACTGTTTGATCATTTTTTTGGTATCTAAATCTTATAACCTCAACAATCACTTCTAAGATAGTAGTATGCAACATATTAACTTTAATGTTACTCTCCTACTATTTTTTAAATTCTGTATCATTTTTATCCTTTTTTCTCTTTTGCTTTTTAACATAAAAAAGTATACAAAATGTGCCGTACATAAAAAAAATCTGACTTTTTGTAAATATATCTTCTAGGTTAAACCAAATAATCTATATTTTCTTAACACATTTTCTAATAAATAAAATAAAATATATAAGAGGAGAAAGGATAAATCCTTAAATCTTATAATTTATATGCAATTAGGTAACAGGTTAATAATCATACTCTATCCCCCACAACTGGCTTTTTCTCATAAATCTATTAAACTAAACTTTGTGACCTTACATAAATTGTATAAGCCCTGTGGACTCATTTTCCTTCACTGTAAAATGACCGAGTGGGTTTAAATCAAGTCACTCCTGGTTTCTCTCTAAACATCAGGAGCAGCCCTAGCTAAGGTTGAATTTCAGGCTTCTTGTAAGTAACATGTTAATGCTTTGCTGTGCAATACTACAATTCAGTAGCACTAGGAAGTATATAAAATTATTGTCCCTATTAAGAAATATGAAAAATGTTATGATTGCTTCTGTAAATTTAAAAACAAATAGTGAAAGGATATCTACCACATAAAGCCAACATCAAACAAAAGTTTTCCTTTAGAATATTTACTCTCTTTGTATTTAGTTTTAACCAACAAGATTCAAAGCCTTGTTATCATTCTTAATTAAAAGAATTTAATATGTTATGGAATGAACTATAGCTTTTGCAAGGAAAGCCAGAAAGCAAGCATTGTCCTGAGGACATATACAGTTGTGCCAAGAAAGTTTCTCAGTCTCTGTCAGAATCAAGTTACCCATCTCTAAATGATAATAATATCTGTGAAGTAAATGTACTTCGGTATTAAATGAGATAATGTATGTAAGTATTGGGCACTTAGCACATGCTCCATACATAATAACTTCATGCATGTATTCTTTCTTTCTTTCTTCTTTGCTTTCTTCTATTCTTTGGAACCAGGAATAAAACTCAGAACTTGCACTTGCCACGCATGTGCCCTGCCACTGAGCTATACCCATGGGCCCATACACGTTTTCTCAAAATGCCTTAAAAATGCTATTTTCTTCACTATCACAGCCATTTAGAAAATGCCCCTGGAAGGCTACAGTATTACTTTTGATAGCAAAAAAATTAATGTATTCAGTTTTACTACAAGGCATTCATTTATTCAACTATTTATTAAGCACCTAGTTTACTTTATGTAACATAGTACATAGCATGCATAGAAAATACCAAATGTATTAACATGACATGCTTCAAATTACCAAGGTCATTTCTCACCGTTGTATCCTGGAACACACTTTCCTGCTTGTCCTGGTGGAGGCGTTTTAGAGTTGCCTAATCCAACACATGATGCTGTAATTGGAGATCCAGTCTCTGAGGAAAGAAATATGGTTTATCACTAAATGTTTCAGTGTGGAATTATAATACTTCTTCAGCACATGCACATATTACCCATCCTAGTTCGCCTCATAATTTACTCATAATTGCATTTGGAATAGGGCAAATGTATTATTTAAAAGTTTTAAATGTATTATTTAAAAGTTTAAAATCCAGTAATTCCACAATATATTCACAGTTATAAAGCTCAAGAATACACACTTGGAATAATTTATTTGCTAAAGGAAATAACTTCTTTCGTAAATAAAAAGAAAGGCTGTTTTAATGGTAAATTAGGAGACATAAAAATGGAGAACTTTGTGACCATGAATGTTCTATAACACGTATTTAAAGCTAAAAGATCACTAGAAGAGTTGGTTTTTCTCGATGCACTTACAGTCATGATGTTTATCTTTGTAAATTACAGTTACATGATAAATATTTCTTATTCTCTGGAAAAAGAGCCCAAACACTTAAAAAAAACTACACATAAATAATATTGTTCCCTGATTTTCTAAGAACTACGCTTGCCTAAAGGCCATGTATCTCCACCTGAATTTATCAATGCTTTATCAGGTAGTTCTCATTCTCTTATTCGTGGATTTTTAGAAACACTAGAACACAGAAAAGCAGATGTTTATGCTATACTATTGCCTTAAAACCATAGATTAACAAAATTGTTGTCCAATAACCGTAAGTTCTGAAAGCGATTTTTTTAAGGGAAGAATATGTTTAGTACTCATAAATACAAATGTGAGGTTAAACAATATTTTACAGACGGATAAGAGAATAGGGTAAGAATAAGAGGACCATGATAGTGAAAAGTTTGGAAATTATGTCCTTAAATTATACACACAACATACACAAACATATATCCAAGGAATTAAATGGCAAATCAACCATATTTGAAGTAACTCAAAGATTTCATAAAATCCATCTTTCTAAGTATATAATATGGATTCCTTCTTCCATGATCTCTATCATTATTTATCATACATTTGTATCACTTTAGAAGGATGGGATCAATTTATTGCTACTCTTTACCTTCCAGAGTAATTTAGTTTATTATTCACATTCTATGGATGGTGGCTCATCTGACATCAATAACAGAAGATGGACTGTTGTACTTTAAAACATGGTTCCTAAATCACATTCTGTTGCTTAAGATGCTAAACTATGTGGTCACTGCTGAGCGTAATCTCCAGGTAACCAGAACCAGACACTCTCATTATTTTAACAGAGTTAAAACAGTTTTATATCACGACAAAAATGGAGAGCTATTTGATGAAATGGTATTCTGAAATCATGGAATGTCCCCATCTGTTTACTTCGAAATGCAATCAAAATACAGAATAAAATTAAGGTGATTGGAAGAGTTAAGAGCACTTTCCTCTTTTGTCTTTTTGAAAGTGTTTAATTCACCTTAGTGCTGCAAAACTAATGTGAAAGAAAACAGTAGGGATGATGACTGAAATCAGCTTCTGAAAAGAGGTATTTAAAAGGAAGATGAACAAGATGCATGAGTTCTGATCTGCACAGGAACAGAAGCTACCAGAAATACTAGGACAGGCAACAATCTACTCAAAAGGCTTCCCTTTCAACACTGGTGGGAAGTAGCTACTAAAGTTAATGTAGTTTGGAACTATTTCTTGTCAGGTTAGTTTACCAAGAGGGAAGCTCCAATCATTGTAAAGTTCAAACTCTCTACAGTTCTTAATACGTGAGGCTTCCACAACTTAACAAATGGTTCTAGAATCCATAAATGAGTCACCAATAAATCTAGTGCACGCTACTGGCCCTAGAACTTGACAGTTAAAAGAAAATGAACAAAAGATGCCTACCAACAACAAAACTCGAATCACAACATAGTTCCACCCAGCTCAGTGCAGGCTCCTGTAAATGCTGTCAACCCTCTGTTGTTCTTATCCCAGCAGGAGAAGGAGGGCGGGCAGAGGAAGTGAAAATAGAGTGTAGTCTCAGTAAAGACGCAAGAGAGGATCAGCGAAGCACTGTCAATAGTCACTGGTAAGTTGATAAACACACCTCCAGAGATTTTTAAGCTTCTTTATATAGTGATTACTCACTCACAATCTTTTAACTTTCAGCTGTTTTTGTTAGTTCATGAATATAAGACAGCTATGAGTGGGGCATGGTGGTGGACAATCTGGAAAGCTGAGGCAAGAGGATCACAAGTTGGAGCCCAGCCCAGGCAACATAGCAAGATATTGAGTCACAATATAAATTTAAAAAGGATGTGGATGTAGCTCAGTTCAAAGACTCCCAATAAAATCCCAAAAAGATTTTTAAGAGAACTAAGTAGGATTATCCATTCATGTTATGTAAAATATATTAAATACGTTTTTGTTTTGAAGATTACTAATGAAAGCATCTTGTTGACATTATTCTGGCTGTCATTTAGAGTAATAGAAAACAAACTATTACTAGTGATGTGCAGAGAATAGAAACAGACGAAATTGCAGCTCCTAGGAACCCAAAAACTATTAATTAGGACAGATGAGAAAACACCATGATAGTTACTTTGGATTCCTCTCTTTGTACTTCCAAATCCACATAAGCATGTATACTGCATATGTCTTACATGTTTATGCACAGACATGATAAACACCACGTTTTGCAAGCTGGTCCAAGTGCAGCATAGGTTTCCAAGCTAGAGAAAGCCCCCAGACATGCCTCAGTCCTTAAACAGAATTCTAAGGACCCCCCAAGTCTCATTTCAAATATTTTCTGAAAACATCTGCTTCACAGCATTCAGGCTATAATTAACTGGCTCACAGTTATTTAGGGAAACAAGAAATCCAGATGTCATGCAGTGATTGGGAAATAGCTACATTAAACAAACCAAAACAGTCTCTTTGAAGAAAAGAAATTGGAAACTTTACTGGGAGAAATCTTCACAAAGATATCGACCCTAGAAACACAAAATGCTCATGAAATCACCAGTATGACTTCTTCAGATCATTGACAACCAGGAAAAAGATGGCGAGATATTGGAAGGTATGAGGAATGCCAGACTATCACAGTTGCACTGGTAGCTGATGGAGAGACTTTCATTTTTTTCAAGGCCAAACCTTATAGTACTTTTATTGTCTGTTACAGTGAGACATTACCTGTCTTAGTTACTTTTCTATTCACTGGGCAAAATGCCTCACACTCCCAATTTAAAGGAGGAAAGGCCTTTTTTGGCTCACAGTTTGTAAAGGTCTCAGTCCAAGGCAGCATGGCAGAGGGGTGTGAGAGGAGAGTGGCTCACAGAAAGGCAGAGAGAGAGAGAGAGAGAGAGAGAGAGAGAGAGAGAGAGAGAGAGAGAGAGAGAGAGAATCAGTGGAGGAGGGAGACAGAGGCTTCCAGACCAGCCCCAGGGACGCACCTCCTCCAATCAGACTTCAGCTCCCAGCAGCACATTAGGATTGGTCCACTAGTGAGTATCAAACCCCATGATCCAATCACCTCCCAACAGCCCCATCTCTGAGCACATGAGGCTTTGGGGAAGACATCTATTTATAAACTACAACATTACACAAACGAATTTTTCTTCAAGCTTCTATTGGGAAAAGAAAAGAGAAAAGAACTAATAGACATATTTTTCCAATACATATTTTGCTACGTTCAGTGTTAAGTACTTTCTATTTATATTGTTGTGTTTAATCCAACTACAAAGCAATAAGGAGAAAAAAAGGAACATCCGTTTACACAGGAAAAATATTGTGACCCACTACAAAAATTTTAAACAATTTTTCCTAGCTCACATACTTTTTTCAAAGGTGATGAACAGACAAGTAAATCACTTGTGAGGTTCTCAGGTAGAAAACAGAGTGAGTAAAGAATAAGTCACCCAGATTATGTCAAAGTAGATAAAGAAAAAGCTATGTGACAAGCAAGGACTCTAGCCTCATATTTACAAATGGAAGTGGCAGTGGTACAAACCACTTATTAGGAAATATTCACTGAGCAGCTGTTATGTACCCTGCACTATTGTTAAAACTGGGGACACAGAAATAAACTCAAGAGGCCCAAATCCCTACCTTCATGGACTCACATTCTGGTGGAAGACAATATATAATATATAAAATAAAATACAAGTTATATCACAGAATGATACAGGGTAAGGAAAAAGAGAAATAATGGACAGGATCTGAAATGTCTTGGGGCGGAGGGTGCAATTTTATATTGGTTGAAGAGGAAAGTCCTTCATGAGATGGTAACATCTGAGCAAGAGCAGAGTGTGTGTGTGACACACACATATCTCAGGGAAAAGAATCTTGGAGGAACAGACCATGAATACGGTTCCTGAGGAAGGTTTATTCTTAGAGTACTTAAGAATAATTGGTCAAGCCTTTATGACTGAAGGAGAATACAGAACAAATTAATAGAAACAAGGTCAGAGAGGGAGTGAGGAAACATTCCTTTATGACTAATTCAAAGTTGTCATAAGACCTTAAGGTTTTAGAATGAGTCATGTTGCAAGCTACTAATGAGAATTTCTGAGCAAAAGGTTAATGAGTCATAACAACATGCATATACTTTATTTAAACATTTGCACGCAATTCAGTTTTTATGGTCAGGCTCATTTCGTTTGGGCTTCCAGATAGAAGGAGAGGAAGTGCAGAGACCAACTGCAGCTATATTATAATAATTGGTTAATAGATTCCTATGACTTCCTGAAGAGCAAATATCAATTCATATGAAAATTTTCAAGACTGGAAGAAGGACAAGTGCCCAGATAAGTGGTGAATGTGAGACACATTATATGGCTAGGTGACCCACACAAACCAAAGACAGATCATTTTGTGATGTATCTATTCATTTTTACATAAGTTAGTTAATGTATAAAAGGCAACTTAACAATTCTTACAAAAAATCTTTAAAATATACATATGTTTTAACTTAGTTATTCCACTTCAAAGAATATATACTAGGAAATGTTTATAAGAGTGTGCAGTGACAAGAATGTCCTAAACAGTATTAATTATCCAAAA